TTTTTAAACCACTTTTGTCCAAAAAAGCATATTTTTGACCCAAAATCAAAAACGCATTCTGGATATTTAAAATAAAGACAAGTTTTACAAAGTTTGTATAATAAGCTTTCAGAAAATATATAACATGTTGGATATATAATACCATCTTCATCGTCTAATTACTCAATTAAAAAGCAAGCCAAATAAACTGCATCTCTACCTTAAATATTGCAGCCCAAAATGGCAGCAAAAACAGGTTCAACAGATTTGTGCTTGAAATTCAAGGATTTGCCTGGCTACACATTAGTTGAGTTACAGTAGTTCAGATCAAAGGAGAGTCAATTCAAAAGAGTCAGCACATAAAATTTGAATTCAGATCAGAGGAGAGTCAATTCAAAAGAGCCAGCACATGAAATTTGAATTCAGATCAGAGGAGAGTCAATTAAAAAGAGTTAGCACATGGAATTTGAATTCAAATCAGAGGAGAGTCAATTCAAGAGTTAGGACATAAATTTGAATTCAGATCAGAGGGGAGTCAATTCAAAAGAGTCAGCACATAAAATTTGAATTCAGATCAGATCAGAGGAGAGTCAATTCAAAAGAGTCAGCACATGAAATTTGAATTCAAATCAGAGGAAAGTCAATTCAAGAGTCAGGACATAAAATTTGAATTCAGATCAGAGGAGAGTCAATTCAAAAGAGTCAGCACATGAAATTTGAATTCAGATCAGAGAGTCAACTCAAAAGAGTCAGCACATGAAATTTGAATTCAGATCAGATCAGAGGGGAGTCAATTCAAAAGAGTCAGCACATAAAATTTGAACAATTAAAAGTGAAACCCAAACGATCATCACCTTTTAATCATTTCGAAAATCATTGAAATATGAGCATTTATTCTATATTTTATGCAATGCGTGCAAATTAACCATAACATATCTCACACAATAGTCTCAAGATCCCAATAAATGATCTCAGATTGCAACGTCAAAAAGTAGGAATATTACAGATACCTGTGACTATTCTATCCCAAAAGTTAGTCCTCATCTTTTCAACCAGAGTCTCTTTCAATCTTTTCAAAAACCTATTAAATATCTCGGGTTCATCAAGCTACAAGAAAAAATAAAGGCAGTGCAAAATAAGAACACCACCATCACCACTGACCTAACTTTAATATTTGTAAATTATGGATTCCAAAGTTATTTTTTACATGTGATGCAGCATGACCTGTAGCTGTATTTTATTGAGCAAAGCAAGTATATAACTAGTGTGCACAGCAACAAAACATTGATATTAGAAACTAAGGATAGTATGCTTTTCAGGTAATAACTTCTACATACCTTAGCTGATTCTTTCCTCAATGTCTTTAAGCAATCCATTGCCTTGTCGTAAAACTGTGTACCAAATGAATCCATCACCAGCTGAGTCACGCGTTGCTGCATTTGTTTTGCAGCTGAAATCAATTAACACAAATATTATGTCATTATATACACACAATGGCTAGTTAATAATTTATGAATTTAATAAATATGAATTTTAGACCATTGAATCATGCAAAGCAAACTTACATACTTCGCTAATAGCATCATAGAATTTCATGGATGCTCGTAGGAAACTACATGTATAAAAAATGAAGAATACATGGCAGCCATTTTGAATCGGCAAATGAAGAATACATGGCAGCCACTTTGAATCGGCAAATGAAGAGTACATGGCAGCCATTTTGAATCAGAAAATGAAGAATACATGGCAGTCACTTTGAATCAGAAAATGAGGAATGAGTTGAGTAAAAGAGGCAACAGCTGTCTTAAAATTGTGTTGAATAGTGAATGAAACCTGTTAAATATAATCGGAAATATATTTTTATAAAGCATTGCATACCAAAATGTAATCCCAAAACAGAGTAATAGCCAAAAAAATCTGCTGTCAAAGACCATTATCGCTCTGCGCCATTTTAATTTAAAAAAATATGGTAATCACATGACCTGGATTAAAAAAACATGGTTGTCACTGAACTTCTGTAATGTGTCTGTCAACAAAGATGACTTTAGACATGGTGTATGACATAAGTATGAATTATTTATGAGCCAATTGAAAACAAATACACATGTTGGCTAAGCAAATACTAATCAATACTGAATTGAATTGATATGTTATATTTAAGGTTCAATACTGTTTTTGTGCTGAGTATGTCAACCCAGTTCTACCAGGCTTCCATATTGATTTGTGCACACACAGAAAAGCAATGATGTGTTAGAAACTGCAAAGAACTACTGTAAAATGACTAATGTTCACTGGGTTCAAATTTCGCTGATTTACAATTTCAGGCATATTCAGTGGGTATTAAATTCACGGTTTTATCATTTAGATAATGTGTTCTATGCTCAATTTTACATATTTACTGGGTTTTAAGCGCATTTTCCATTCAGCGAAATAAGCAAAATTAAAAGCGAATAATTAATCCTTTTACAGTAAGCGAATTTACGGTCGGCCCTAAAATATATTTTTATCCCTGTTTACACAGTGCTTCACAATGGATATTCAGCAAGGTACACAAAGACAAAGACAAAGAAAAAAATATGAATCACGAATTGTATAATCAACCAAAAATACAGCTATTGTCTCTTTAATGGCCATGTAACATGAAAACATGACTACATAATATAATATGATTGATTAATGAGCCTCTGCTCCACAAAGGATTGCACAGAATAAATCAATCTACCTTCTGCAAATCTATCTTCATCTTTTTGTCTGATTATTGTCAGGAAATCTTTGACAGGATCCACAGTACCAACCTAGTAAAAATAAAAACAATGCATGGGGTTGCCCATGACAACCATGAATTCTTGTGAATATGGATCAAGAGCAATATGCATTGATAAATTCAGCTATGTGAAGTGAACAAATTGTTGTCACTGACTGATGTGGATGTTTATTGCGTTGAGATACCCCTACTTCATCAAAATTGACCAGCATCAAATGTGTACGGCTGATTAATAAGCGTGGAAATACAAAAAAAAATACTTTTGGACATTTAGACCCCATGTGACCACTGGACCTTTGTTTGTCTTGTTTTACGTTTGATTTCACGCATAATGCAGAGTCTCATAGTAATCGAAATTGGTCCATTGGTGGTATATCAGTCGTTAGTCTTACCGTAAAAACCCGCAAATAAGCGCCATCCCTCAATTAAGAGCCACTCAGTGAAAATTTGTTACATTTGACCCTCCATTAAGAGCCACCAAGAGTTGAGTGGTTTTGTCAATAAGAAACCAGAAATAAGCGCCAGCCGCCCGGTTGTTTACAATCAGGCAGACACCGAGCTTGTCGTGCCTCACTTCCACCTGCATTGTTTATTGCCCCACAGAAGGTGTGAGACAAATAAAGATTATCCCCATAACTTGCCTGATGTCCTGTGTAATTGAGAACGGAAGAATGATAGACGAAAGAAATGCAGAGAGCGTGAATGTGACTGTCAACTTGTTCATTTTATATTTCTGACACACAATCGACCAATTCACAAACTGTTCAGTAGTAACTACTAGTATGTTTTTTGCCGAAACACCGAAGGACACGTTGAGATATTCATTGTCAATGTTGTCTTTATAACCAAGTAAAGAACGTCACAATTTTAGAACGCCTTTATCGGAAAATCGGAGGTATCGAAAATACATTCTCACAGACGGACCGGAACAGGAAGTCAACAGAAAACAAAAGATTTTTTCCTTAGCGTGGGGGAAATTTGGTTAGCGTGGGGAAAAACAGAGGTGTTAATCCGGTCCTGGCAACGTTTGAGGGATCGTGACATAGCTCCG